GAGCCCTGTGGCACACCACTAGTCATGGGGACCCACTCAGATGTTATTCCGTCTAATACTACTCTCTGTTGCCGACTAGTTAATCTATTTTCAACCCATTTAAGCAGTGTTTCACTAATCCCATAAGCTCGTAGTTTGTGTAACAGGCGCCTGTGTGGAACTTTGTCAAATGCTTTGGCAAAGTCTGTATAAAATACATCTGCAGGAAACCCTAGGTGCATGCTTTGTGTAAGTATGTCATGTGCTTCAAGAAGATTTGTGACACACCCTCGTTTAGGAACAAAACCATGTTGAGCTTTGGATAGAAGATTATGTTTTATGCAAAACTTCATTATACAATCATGTATGAGACTTTCCATGACTTTGCAAACTATGGATGTTAGTAATATTGGTTTGTAATTTGATGGTTGAAGTTTACTATTTTTTTTAAAAGTTGGTGTAATATTAGATTTTTTCCACAAATCTGGAACATCACCCGTGGATAAAGATTTCTTGTAGATTGTTGTGATTGGGATTGCAAAAGATGTTGCACAATTTTTAAGAACACGTGGATGTATTTTGTCATAACCCATGGCCTTATTTTCAGATAACCCTTTTAGTTTTTTTTCTACTTCACGCTCATGAATGCTATCTTCATCAAACTGACATATGGTTTGTGTGCGTAGATTAAAATATGGCATAGAACCTTCTTGTTCAACTGCAAACACTGTCTGGAAATAATTATTTAGTAATGCACAAATTTCGTCTTTTTTTGTAGTGGTTGAGTTGTTCATTGCTTGTAGGCTGCGAATTTGTTCATAAACTCGTTGTTTGCTACGAATATGTAAGTGTAGGCATTTTGGGTTAGACTTAGAAGCATAAACTAAATCATCTTCATATGAAAGTATGGCTTCTTTAACAACTTTTTTAACATTTTTGCATGCAACTTTATGTGCATTTCGTAAATTTTCATGAGTAGGCAGCCTGCAGCAATGTATTTGAGCCATAACGTATGTTTTTCTTTTACTGCTGCTTTTACCTCTGGTGTAACCCACGGTGCATTTTTTATTTTAGGTGGAACTAAAGTTGATGGTATGTGTTCTTTAATGTATTTTTTGTATATATTAACAAGTAAGGAAAAATTATCGTTAGCTGTATGACCTTCAAACATGGTATGCCAATTGTTTGAAGCTATTTTTGTTGATATTGCATCATAGTATATATACATACATATATATCAAAAGTTATAAAGTAATATATAAATATTATAATATTTATATATTTCTTTTTAACTTTTATTCTATTTCTATTTTTATTTATACATACTTCAATTTATTATTTTGTTATAAAAAATATATTTTTTATATTAATTTTTGTTATTTTTATTTATTTACTTTATATTATATTTCATTTTTAACTTCATCTATTTACAAAAACGATTAATTACAATAATAAAACCAAACTTAAACCTTGCTGTAACCCTAACCTTAAGTCTGACCTTGATGCCTGGCCTAACCAAACCTTCAGTCAATATAGCAGCACTCCCTTGCGAGTCAGGCTATTTGATAGTCAATTTATGTACTTTTTCGTTCTTTATAAATGTTTCTTATGAATAGTTTTTTTTTTACAAAAAAAATAATGCTTATGAGGACAAAAAATTGACGGGTACACTAAAATATCCTCAATAATGCAAATTTCCCCTTTAGTGTTTGTTAAAATCTGTCCCTGTAAGTAAAAAACTATATATATATATATATATATATATATATATATATATATATATATATATATATATATATATATATATATATATATATATATATATATATATATATATATATATATATATATATATATATATATATATAGTTTTTTACTATATATATGTCCCTGTAAGTAAAATATATATATATATATATATAATATATATATATATATATATATATATATATATATATATTCATTATTATCATTATTATTATTGTACCGCAACAAGCTATAGCTTGAGTAACCAATTCTGGTTTTAAAGGCCTACGTAAAAATTTACAATTTATTTTAAAATAAGTTATTTAAATAGGAATAAAGCCAATTTCATTGTTAATCATCTTCAAGGTTTTCCGATTCGAAAAATTTATCAAAAAATTTATCGAAAAATATATTATATATTATTGCATTAACTTTAAAACTAGAACTTGTTGCATTTAGGGCAGTTGTGTGGCTCACAGGGGCAGTGGTAGGACATGTCTCATGTTTGAGGCATTTATGGCTAAAATTTTAAGGTTTTTTTGTTTCCAGACTCCAATCATCACAATTTTTTGCAGAGCATAATTAAAGCATATGTATATACATAATGTTTGGAGTTTGTTACATGTCTGGCAGTTACCTTTTTAAAACATCAATATCAGGGCTGTGGAGTTGGAGTTGGAGTTGCGGAGTTGCGACATTTTCAGCGGAGTCGGAATCGCTAAACAATATTGCGACTCTAACTCCAATTGTAAAACTTCTCGATATTGCATGTGCAGGTACAAAACATTCAATTAACCTTGTGTTTATACTAAACCTCAAACAACGTTTCATAAATTTGTTAAAATTTTTTTTTTTAACTTATTGCGTAATATCTTTTAAAGAATTCAAATAGTTTTTCAAAAATTTTGCTTTGGAGTTGGAGTCGGAGTTGTACTCAAAAAATTTCAACTACTGGAATCGGAGTCGTTACTTTTTTTTTATAACTTCACACCCCTGATATATATATATATATATATATATATATATATATATATATATATATATATATATATATATATATATATATATATATATATATATATATATATATATATATATATATATATAGTAGGGAGTGAAAATAGCATTTTTCAGAAATACAACTTTTCTCCTTGAATTTTATATTAGCTATAAGAAAATTAAAAAAATTAACTGAAAGTGAGCAAAATTGGACAAGAATTAACCTGTGCAGCAAATTTTGATTAATAATACTTTTAAAATTTTAAAGCGCAAATTTTATATTAAAAGTTATTTTTTTAAGTAGAAGTTACAAGGTGAGAATATATTAGGTTTGCTTGAATTATCCATTAGCATTATGATTAAAATGATCACTTTTGTATTAAAAAAGTTATTGAAATTTTTAAAAACACATTTAAAAAAAAAGATATTTCAATTAAAAATATTGAATATTAAGCATAAAATTTAATAAAATACATGCTCTTCATAAAGTTTCAATACAAAACTTTTTTTTAATTTAATGAACCTTTTTTTTAAATTTAATTTATAATATTTTGTTTGTAAAGATTTAAATGCTAGTAAAAATTTATAATATTTTGTTTGTAAATAATAATATCATTTATAATTGAACAATAAATTCGTTATAATGTATAATATATTTATTCAGAATATTAATTAATTGAACATGGTGTTTGTTAACATGTTATGTTTCTATATAGAGCTTGATACTTTGCTGTTTATTTATACTATGATAATACTATAATATATGAAAACTTTGCTAAATATATTTCAGTAAATAGAATGTTAAGATCTAAAACAGATTGATTCTTTGGATTTTCCAAAGAATCAATTAGAAAAACATTAGAAAATATCAAAGTTTTAAATTTTTAAATATCTAAGTTTGGAAGTAATTAAGCTTGGATTTAAAATTTTAAAACTTCAATTTTTTGTAAATTCTTTGTAGTGAAGCACTTTTAAATTATAATAAAAATATATATTAATTTTATTCTTTTTTATTTCAATTTCAATTTCATGTTTTTATTTTTTTTTAGTTTACTTTATACTATTTTTTTTTATAGTTTACTTTATTTATTCATTTTATAATTTGTTAAGATTTTTACTATTTTAATTAATTTTTGCATTTTTTTAAAAAATTTTATTTCTTTTTCCGATTTATTGTTTGCTTATTTTTAATTTTAGTTTACATTTGTTTTTTCAGCGCATTTTTTAAATGCCATAGCTTGAAACATGCAAAGTAATTAAGCTTAAATTAAATAACTTAGAAACTTCAATTTTTTCAAAATTCTTTGTAGTGAAACACTTTTGAATTAAAATAAAAATATATATTAATTTTATGCTTTTATATGCATTATGTTTTTATTTCAAAATATAAAATTTTAAGGTTGCACTTTATTTTATAAATAATATCAACAAAATATTATATTCGTTGTCATAGTTCGATCCCCACCATGTCTCTGGTAGTACCGCGCTCAACTCGTTTCTCCGCGCAGCGGCCTTGTTCGTCAAGGTTCGTGTTTCAGAGTTATAGAGTTGAGAGAGGGTTATAGCCACAAATAAGTAGCCTCCTCGTCTGTAGTGGCCTTCTCGGCCTTGAGGAGGTGAATCAAAATAAAAAAAAAAAAAAATATATAAGGTAACATGCCTTATATTTTATCTTGACTAACTTAAAACATGCAAGAGGTCATGACTGAGCTGTCAAAAAAAAAAATATATCTTGGTTATACAAGGTGTGCAACCGCATGCGTCTCCTGAGAAGGCTTTTATTGTAGTATTGTAGGTTGATTAGGCAGCTACCTATTGTGCTTTATTTTTTAAAGTGTAAGAACACTTTTATCAATTATATTTAGTATACTCAAATAAAAAATTTACAAATAAGTTGCATAATCTAATATCATTACATTATTAAAAAAAAGATAGTTCAGCAAAACTCATGGGTTCATGCATACTAGTTATATAAAAATTATAAGCAAAAATACTAAATGCTGCCTACAATTTTTTGTACTTAAAAATAGAATAAAAATGAAGGAAAAAATGTAATGGATACTGGAAATTCAAAACATAGGTTAATTATTCAAATGATAGCAAGGCATGTTATTTGATATAAGCGTTACCAGTAAACTACTTAAAAAGAAAATGTTAAAAAAAAAATTTCTTCTGAACTGAGTATCGCTAAAAATTCAAAAGAGATTTTTATATTACTACACTAAACACAGAAATTTAGCTAAACCTAAGGTTGCCAGTTTTCTTTTAACTAATATAGCAATTTGGGAGAAAATAGAATTTTATAAAAAAAAATATAGATTAATTATTCAAATGATAGCAAGGTTTTTGATATAAACATTACTAGTAAACTACTTGAAAAAAAAAATGTTAAAAAAAATTCTACTGAAATTAAAAATTTAAAATAGAGTTTTATTTTACTACACTAAACACAGAAATTTAAAAAGTTGTAAAAGAATGGTAAAAAGTTTTTACCAAATACTGATAATTTAGGTAGAAGCTGAATTAAAACCTCTTTTTAATAAAAATTATGTAGTTAGTATTTATATAAAGGTAACATTAGGAGTATTTTTCTCATAATTTATTCAAAATATTTAAAGAAGTATATATTCGGAATATAAAATTCAAAATTATGACATCGGAATTCTAAAGATTCTGACAATAATAAATTGCTCGTAAAATTAAAATCATCCTGTATATATTTTTAAATGAAGTTTAATTAAAATTTATCCAAATCCACAAAAAACTCTAAAATATAATTGCTTTAAAAAGTCTTTTGTTGTTAATATATACTCTTAACATAATCTAATTCATTATATTTGCTATTTTTTCATAGTTTATGCTGAAAAAAATAGTTTTAAGGCAAATTTAGAAAAGTTTACTTTCAAAATAAATGATGAAGAATCAATTAAATAAATTAATTTTCAGTATAAAAGAAATATCAAAAAGCCTCAACATCTTGGTTAATAACATATTTTTTGATAATGAGTGCAAAAAAAGTGAAGTTTCAATAAAAAAGTTATATTAGTTTTATTTGTTGCATTTAAAAATTGTACAAAATAAAAATGGCAAAACAGGTAATTACTAAATTAATCTTATGTAGCACCAATAAAAATAAAACTCTAATAAGGGTAAGTGTGAAGAAAACAGTTAATAAACTGCACAATGTCATTGTAGATCAAAATTTTTTAAATTTAATTTGAACGCAGACAAAAAACATACTATGTGGTCAGAAAGTGAATTCCATATTTTGATAATTCTTTAGTTGCAAACAAATCTTCTTGTATCATTAATGAATTTATTATGCAGAGTGAACTTTTGTGACTAACTTATTGTAAAATATTTTGAAATAGAAAATACAAAAAAAAATCAGAAAAGGGTAAATTGACAAGATAATCCATAACTTTATTTAATGAAAATATCAAATATAACTATGTGATACTCAAGAGATTCAAGTTAAGAGACAAATCTTGATAAGTAATCAGTGTATGGAATATGACATTTTCTGCAAAAAATTCCAGTAAAATATTTTTGGACCTTTTCTATGCAACTTATATTTTTCTAAAGATGATGGCTCCATACTGGAGTACAAGATTCTAGTACAGACCACACATTAACTTTGCAGGCTTTTAAAAAAAGTTGAGAATTGTTAATAACAAAGGTAAATACGAGAGTATGATTTTTTTAAGATACAAAAGCTATGATTAGAGAACTTCATATCAGAAGACATGAAAATTCCAATATCCTGAATTGAAAAACAGTTTCAATATTGGTAACGGAACTTAATGAATAAGAATAAATAGATAAAAAATAACGTATTATAAAGAAAAAACATTGACTGGATACTATTCAGTTATTAGACTATGCAGAAGGTTTTAATCATTTAACTTATACATAATTTATATATATTTACAATTTAAATTTATATACAATTATATTGTATTTAGAAACAAAAAATTTATTTGTTCAACTTAAGAAAGTTGATAATGATGCACAAGTCAAATTAACTGAAATGATTAAAATGCAATATCTTAGTTGACATTACAAAACGTAAGAACTTAGAAAGAAATGTAATTTTTAATTAAACAATACATAAATTTGCTCTGTTTTCCATGTGTATTTTGGAACTTTTTAGGTTTTAATTTAACTTTTTTAAAGTTATCTTATTATTTTTATTATTAAAAATTATTTATTATTATATTAGAAATACTTATTTTTTTCAAGCTAACTGCATTTTTTGCAATTAATCAAGGTAATTAAAGTAATTAGTACCTATAATAAACTATTACAGGTACTAATTACTCAGCATTACTTAACTCCTAATGTTAGTTAGCAAATGCTTTTATTTTTTTTTAAGAAATGATTCTTTTTTCATTTTATCCTGTGAAAAGAAGCAAAAAAAAAAAAAGAAAAAAAAAGTTGAATAGCTATCTTTACTAAACAGAACCCTGAAAACAATCCTACAGATTTAACTAATCCTGATTGAGGTTCACTATCGTGAAAATAGATGCAATAATTTTTAGTTAATTGCTTAAAATTGTTATTATAATTATTAGTATTATTTTAATTTCTCAATTTAAAATACTCATATAATAGTTTTTATACAACACAACAAACCTTCACATCTCTGATCTTGAAGATTAGGCTTTAAAATCCAACAATCATTATCACATGTGCAATTGTAACCACCTATTTGATTGATGCATGAAATTTTTTCTCCAAAGCAATTATGAGTTCCAACAGAACACTCATTGATATCTTGGAAAATTTAAAAACAGGTTATAGGAAATAAACAACAAAAGCAAAAGCAAATCTCATTTATTAGATTTTTTGTTTTTGTTTTGTTATGATATACCATTACTTATTTCAACCACAGGTGTCAATCCTGATAAGAAATCCTAAAACCAGCTAGACTTATAATTTAACTAGTTTTAGAAATTTTGTTCTTATCAAAGAGCAGAAATGGTTTATTTTACCTGACAACAAACTTTAAGAAATACTTTGAATAAAAAGTGATGAATTCAATATCTATTAAGTAAATTTGATTTAGTTTAAGGCAGAGATGTTGGTTCAAGAGGCTCTTTTGCAAGTTCTTTTTTTTTTTTATTTAGTAATAACTAGTGGTAAAATTTTTAAAATTTTGGGACCCTAATGGCAGGTTTTGGAGTGAGGATGGGGGTCTCACACCTACTAGCCATGGCACTGATGATATCATGACAGCGTGGAAAATAAAAACTGGTCAATGGTCAATAACTGCTTGAAATTACTAAAATTGCTATTTTGACCTTCCAAAATGAATTCATGTCATGGTTGACCAATTATTTTTAATAATAATCGCTTATAATTAACTATCAATTACCATTTATAATTAATTATAAGCGATAAGGTATGCTTAAAACTTTATTATAATCTGTTAATATCTGCTTAATCAGTTATAAAATCTAAAACCTTAATAATAGATAATAATTTGGTGAATCAAAATTCAATAGTAATAGATAAACCTTATGTTTTTTTTTAAAATAGTAAAGTCAGATAATTCATACCTAATCAGATATTCATATCTAATTCATACATTTAATAATAAGACACTTCAAGTCCTTTGTCAATTGTATATTAGTCTGATTTTTTAAAGTACATTAGTCTGTTTTTTTATTTTCAAGAATTTGATGATGGTGCTCTTTTCATTACAAGGTATGTCATTTAATAAATGCTACACAAACAATGATGTATTTACAAATGTACTTTACTATAAATAATTATTTTACTATTAAACATTTTTTATAAATGATTAAACTAAATAAAATGTGTTACTGGAAACCATTAGTTACTAAAACTCAGTTGTTGTTACTAAAAACTCAGTTGTTGTTACTAAACACCCAGTTGTTATAGATTTTCTGATAGATTTTAAATAACTTTGAAAATATCAATCACTAATAAAAATTACAGAAAATCTGTAAACCAAGCAGTTTAATAGTTTGTTTTTTAAATTTAATAAACATGCATTGCAAGGATTCTCATAGAACAAATATTGCACAAATAAGGTTGTAATTGTAAATGTTCCTAAATTTTTCTAAATTTATATATTTAAGTATTTTTATGAGTCATATGATGTGGTAATGTGTGTTATTTATTGTGTATCTATGTGTTAAGGTTATATGAGTTTTTATTTTGTAAATGTTTTTGTCATAAATGTGTAAACATCTTTTATACACAAAGTGTTTTTATGTGTGTTATGTGTTATAATATTAAATGTTTATAGTTTGTAAGTGGTTATGTTGTTTTCATGGTTTCAAAGTGTTGTAACTTGGCTTAGTTTACAGTAAGAGTGTTGTCCTTACTAGCCAAGTGGTGTACTTTGCAAAAATGTGACTTGGATTTTTTGAGAGCAAAAATGTTGTCATTGCCAGCCAAGCGATGTACTGTCATCATGAAACCAAGCAGTGTATTGTCATGACGAAAAACCTATTTGTAATTAGTAAATCATAAAATGTGTAATTTTTAATTATATAACATATTTTAGTAAATACTTCTTATAACCAGTACACTTATTGCAACAGTAACAACATCAACATGTGCTGCCTTAACAGTAACAGGAGTGACATCTGCTAATGGTGAATAAGTGATTTGTATTAGGTTTATAAAAATAAAAATTTGGGATTGTATTGTTACTTTTTATTTTTAGATTTACTGTATGAAGCCTTTTTTGGCATTTAGAAGATTGAATAGTTACATTGATTGATTGTTTTTATTTTGTTTTTAACTTTTTTATATAGCTTCCAGGTACTTTTTCTTCTGGTAAAACCAGGGTTGGCAAAAACCCGGGTTTTTTTAAAAAAACCCGGCCCAGTGGGTTTTTTTGGGTTTTATTGGGTAAATTTGGGTTTTTTTGGGTTTAATTTTTATTTTGTCTTTGTAAAAAAATTTTTTGTGTCTTTGTTTAATGATATTGAAAATTAGTTTTTTTCTACTTTAACTTTATTTAAAATATATTTTATATATTGTTGTTTAATTATTTATAACAAGAATTTTTCAAATTATTTTGAAAAAGATTTTTAAATATAATTTAAAAATGTAATAGAAAAAAAAAATTTCACGCTTAATCTATATGTATTGATTTATTTTAAATTTAAAAGTAATATTCTATATAATTAAAAATGTCAATGAGAAAATGTGAAAAAGAAGGCTTGAGAATGGGAGGTAGTAACTGAAGTTTCAATTAAACTTTGAACTTGAAATTCAAATGAACAAACTTGTTCCTCTGCGCAGCGGCCTTGTTTATAAAGATTCATGTTTAGGAGTTGAAAAGTTTTTTTTTTTTTTAATTAATTCACCTCCTCAAAGCTTAAGGCCACTACAGGCGAGGAGGCTACTTATTTGTGGTTATAACCCTTTCTCAACTCTATAACTCTGAAACACGAACCTTGACGAACAAGGCCGCTGCATGGAGAAAGGAGTTGAGCGCGGTACTGCCAGGGACGTGGTGGGGATCGAACTTGGAACCTCTCACTTATGAAGTGAGCGCTCTACCACAACACCACTACCGCAAAAGAGTTGAGAGAGGGTTGTAACCACAACAAGGTAGCCTCCTCGACTGTTGTGTTGGCTTCTCTGGTCACTACTACTCATTTAAATTCAACTTGGGAGGTGAATAACATAAAGTAATAAAAATCTCAATCGATAAAAATATTTGAATAAAAATTGTAATAATGTATTTCCAAATGATTCAAATAATAGTAAACCTGCTCTGATAGCTGTTATTGTTGGTTATAATAGTTAATAATAATAGTTAATAATAATTAAGTTAATAATAATAGTTAATAATTATTTTAGTAAATAATATTATAGTTATAATGTTAAAGTTGGTTATAATAGTTCATAAACTTATTAAATATCTTTGAAAAAACCCAATAAAACCTAGATTTTTCAGGGTTTTATTGGGTTTTTTTAGGTGGGTTTTTTTGGGTTTTATTGGGCGGGTTTTTTTGGGCGGGTTTTTTAATGCCAACCCTGGGTAAAACAAGTAAGTTGTTGTACTCACTTATACTTGACTTAGTATATTAATTGATTGCTTTTATAGTAAATTTTTACTTTTTTATATAGCTACAGATGCTTATTCCAGTTCAATCGACCAATGCTATTTCTAATTTTTCCAATACCAAAACCGTTTCCGGTATTGGAAAAATTTAATAAAAATACCAATTTGCACATTAGTGCAAATTGGTATCTTTATCAAGTTCAAATTTTATTTTGAACTTAATAAAGATACCAATTTGCACTAATGTACTTTTTGTATTTGAATTTTGTAAATGAATGACAAAAAATAGAATTTATTTTGTTTTGCTGTTTGCAAACCACAAGTTGGCTAAATTTTTTTATTAGTTAGACTTTTTGGTATTGTAATTATTGCAACACTACGATTTCCCTTAAAAAATTTGTATAATTATTTGTGGAAAAGTATTAACGATTGCAACATTACAATTCCCTGGGACATTATTTCTGCATAAAAAAGTTCATAAATGAAGGTATATAATAGCTGTAGCATTAACTTAAGTTTTTATAATAATAGCTTATATATAAGAAACAAAATATTGTTTAGCATTAAAAAAATTATACATTTAATTATAATATTTAATATATCTATTTAAATTAATAAATAATATACAAGTAAATATTGTAATTTTTTTTGCGTTATATTTATTTTACTTTACTTTATATATATAACCAATAATAAACAAGTACAAAAAAAAAACATGCTAAAACAAAGCTTTTCTTTCTGAAGTATTTCCCAAAATCATGACTCAGCTAGTGAAGCAAAATAACCCTGTGCAATTCTTTCATAAACTGCTAAGGTTCAATTACCCACATGAGAACTATCCATAGTACAATAATAAAAAATAAAAAGTTAGATGGAACATCTATTGCAGAAGTTCCAAAAAAACAAATAAAAGTTGACGAATTCTTTAAACGTTAAACTTTGGCTGAATTGCTAGCAAAAAGTGCGGCAAAGGATGGCATGTTTTTAAGAATAATCACGAAATCGGATGCAATACATTAGTTTATTCAGAAACGTGGTTTCCAAATGCCAAAAAGTCAAACCAGTTGCAAAACTAATATTGTCATTTTACGAGATAAAAAAACAACAGCTGTGTGATGAAATTTCTGTTTTGAAAAAATGTAGTGAAAAGTTTAGAATAACAGTTGATGAATGGACTGATATCTCCATTAAAAGGTATATAAATGTAACTCTTCACAATAAAGTTGCTTATTTATTGGGTCTTGTTAAAATTTATATTTTTTGTGATGTTTTCACAAACAAAGAACTATTGAAACAAAAATATACAGAACTTGGGTTAGATTTTGTGAACATAATTGCATCTACTCACAATGTTGCTGCAGTAATGCAAAAATATGGACAGATAATTCCTGTAGAGAGTCAACTGTGCCACAACTACAGCATTCACCTGGCTGTAACTGATGTTTTCTACAAAATTTACATACCAGCGACAACCAAGCATGTTGGAGTGACAAATCAAATAAAGATGCCAATGAAAATGATAATGCAAACAATTCCGAAGAAATTCTTTTTAATCTTACTTTGGAAGAAGATAATGATCAAATTCTGATTACAATGACAATCACTATCTTAAGAAATTGAATCACAGTGATATTTTTGATGATATCATAAACAAAACTGCTCATGGAAGCAGCAACAGAACATTTCAAGATAACATTATTTAAGTCTGCATTGAATAGTTCAT